ACTGGCTATATTTGAATGTGTGGGTACATATATATGCATATGTCTGTATACAGACGTGTATGTATATATACACGCACGTACATACACATCTATATACACACACATTTATACAAACACATGTATTACTTGCAATGGCCTCGATGGCTGCTTTTAGAACAAGTACACTTTCAGATATCTGGTTTTATTATGCTTTTGAATAATATAGAAATATATTATATCTAATTTTGTTATAACCTATTGGAAGCAAATAGCTCCTACACATACAAATTCCTTGTTTCCCCTGGACTGCTTTTGTTACTGATAGAAGTTATCTGAAACTTTGGGATGCATATATTTAAGGTCTACATCATTTCATGCATGATAGATGTTAACCTTTTAACACCAAACAGAAAGCACTCAAATATTGTAATGATGAGTGCTAGCAGTGTAAGAACCTATACAAACTAGCACTAGCCATTATGTTTATCGGTACACTCAGACTGTGTGTCTTCTGCAAGATACAACAGTGTAAACCTGAAGTTCACAATTAACTTTAGCAGAATTTACACTAATGTAATAGAACTATCACAGACTATGATAATCTTCTTCTTCTCTGATATGCAGAAAAATGCACACATTTATAATGACTGATACTATTCCTGCACTTTGAATGTGTTTTTAGAAGTAAAAAAAAAAATTTTAAATTAATTTTTCTTAACTGAGATTCCGTCACAAAGCCTGTGTTTACTTGGATGACAAGTAATGCTGGATTTAACGTGAGGAAAAAAAAAAAATTGAAATATGACATTGCTTTTTCAATGTGTATAAAGTGACATCGGCATGTTTAATGGCTGTATGAGAAAATGACTAGTAACCAAACTAGTAAAACAATTCATTATCAGCCCCCTAAGGAAAGACAAACTATGGGGTGAGTACAGCTAATTGAACAGTATCATAACCTGAACACTCCTACAATAATCAATGAGTAGCATCTCATTTGGGTAACTTGTAAACAGAGACCTTATTTTACAGAGTTTTTTAAAGAAGAGGTTAAAATCTCATTCTGCAAAGAACTGTGACTAAAATCATGTCTGCTCCAAGCAGAATGTTCCATTTATGTCTGTAGCAGGCTGCTCAATTATGACTGTTTTCTTTCCCTTATGTACTGACAGCCATTATGTACTGACAGCCGCTAATCGCCTGCATCCAAATATCATGACTGAAGTCTACACTGCTGACACCTCAAATATTTAGCTTTGAAGATTAATGAACATCAGATTATATCCAGCCTTTAGGACAGGGACCAGGCTGAAAGTCAAAGAACTTTAAATTTGATTACACAAAAATTATCCAGCAAATTTATTGATTTGCTTCCAAGGCAAACAACAATCTTTACAAGCACATGTTTAACTTTATACTCCCAAGCAATCAGTCCTAAGCATACACAGACAGCTTCTGCACACAAATAATAAAAAATACGCTATTGGGCAAGAGAACTGAAAAGAACTGGTAGAAGACATTTACATCTAAAAGGATGCACACATGAACGTCTGTAAGACTTTCTTGTAGATTCTCCTATCTTCCTGGCTGCACTATTAATCAATGCAGTTAGTATAGATATGCTGATTTAAATCAGATGAAAGTATCATGTAAGTGTTAGGCATCATTCACATACCTGCACACATCCCTGTATTTATATAGGTATGCATACATATTCCTATATGTATATATTAATGCACACATCCATGTCTATACATGTGTATCTATTCCTGTATGTATGTATATATCCCCACAGGAAGTGGGCATTTGACTCATTCAGTTCACAAACAAATTAGATTACAGCATTATAAATAACTGAACAAAAAAGACCATTTAATTGACAAGCTGTATTGATCCGTTCTAATATCAAAAATAGCATGTTTAGAATTTTACTTATAACACCATTAATACTCATGCAGTTTTATACAATGCCAACTCAACATCTGCTCTTACACTTTTTCTGCAATCAGAACTTGTGATTTAATTTTTCACCCGCTGAAAATAAAAAGGACATGGAATACCTCTGCTGTTTTTTTTCTCAGTGGTCCCTCAAAGCAAACCCTATGCTTACTCTCTCAGCTTCTTCATTTTTTCACCTCTCTCTATGGAAATAAAATATTTGCAAAAGATAGACCCTACAGATTCAGTGGAACTTTACCCTGGGCAGTGAAAAGTGCACCTTGCTTTATCCCTCCTTACCAACGGTAATAAGAAGCCTCTCCTCTGGAAGTCTCTACTATTTTACAGCAGGAAAATGAAATTTCCCCTCCTCTGAGCATCTCAAAGTGTATTTCATAGCTTCACTTATGTGCATTTATAATGGGCTTAAAGATATTTAAGTATTCAACAACTTTTGCTTAACATCACAAAAGCAGGAAATGTTACCTTTTTTTAGGCAGTGGTTCGATAACCGTAGTGAGTCACACTCAGCATGAGCCTTTGAAGCTACAAATAGATAGGGATGTTTGCTTTTATGCACCTTCTTATAATTTTATTTTTTAGTAACTGAAAGACCAAGTGAAAAGATTGCAAAAAATCCATCAACTTCCGTCATTTTATTCTACTGAGTATCAGACAGATAACCTAATTAAGCATTTTTCACTCAAAGTGAAAATGACTTGGTTGTGACTGGCTGGGCTTTAAGCAAGTGATATCTTATTTACTAGGAAACTGGATTTAGCTTAACTTCAATTCCTGGAACAATACTGGAATAAATAAATAGTCAAACAGATTATTCCCAAGCATTTAGAGAAAACATGAAAATGTTATAGCCAACGCCAATACATCAAGAGCAAATGTCATCAGACCAATCTTCTATTTAAGTTAGTAAATTCTTTCTCACTGTCACATAACTTTCTTGTAAACCTTTAGGGAAGCATAGTTCACCTGCAACTATTGTTAGGTGAGTGCAAATTGGTCAGGAAATCCTATATAGACATTGGTTATCAGTAGTTCACTGCCAGTATGGAACAAGGTACTTGGTGAGGTTCCACAGGTGCCTGTCCTAGGTCCAGTTTACTACTTAGTATTTTCATTAAGGATCTGAATTACAGGATAGAAAAATGCTTTTTAAAGTGTTCAAATGATACCAAACTAGGAAGAAGAGAAAACATGTTGAAGGACAACTTCAGAATTCAAAACAATCTTGACAATTTCTAGAAACCACCTACAAAACACAGGATGCTACTCAGTGCAAAAAGCAAGCAACATACTGCATTTAGGCAGAACTAACTGGTGATCCCAGAATGGGGAACAGAATGGCTAGTTAACAGTTCTTCAGAAAAGAATTTAGAGGTTACTGAAGATCATGAACTGAATATGAGTGTGCAATTTATGCTGAAACAAAGAATGTAGATGTCACACCTGAAAACAAATAAAAATACAACTTGTAAGAAAAGTAATCCTTCCATTTTATTGATCATTGGTATGAACTCAAATTTTAAAACTGAATCCAGCTCTGGGTGTTGCAGGCAAGACAGATATGGCAACCGTTCAGAGGAAAACAGTGTGAATGGCCAGCAGTCTAGAAAATATGAGGAAATATTGAAAAAAGGTGTGATGTTTCAGCTTTAAGAGAATATGGGGAAAAAACAGGACAATAACCTTTCGATTTAAAAAAAAAAAAAAGGGCTGCAGGTTTTACATTTTATGTCCATATGGGAAATTAGGCCATCTTTCAAAACATGGCCATTCTGTCAGACATTTACTGGAATTACACTATTTCCACAAAATATTTCAATTTCTGTGAATCTTCTTTTTTCTGAGAAAAGCTGTTCTATCTGAGAAACCAGCCACAACCTGAGCTCAAAGTTGGAATGGTTTCAACCCACAAAGTCAAACTTAAAAACAAAATGTAGTGACTACACAATTCACATATATTTGAAGCAATGGTTAGGCATCCAGTACACTTAGGAATTAGAACTGGTTTTATTCAGTTACTTGAGGCTCACTCATCGCTTGTCTTCCCACAACATGAAAGGATTTTATACAAGCATAGGAAAACACCTTTTTTACACCCAGACTGCTATACACACACAAACCCCTCTGCCATGAAAGGTAACGTATGTTTTTAGATATAGAAACAAGGTTCATCTTGATGTAAGAAAGTAATATTTTTTTACAGTGAGAGCAACCATTCACTGTAACAGTCTCCCCAGGGATGTGGCAGCGTCCCCATCACTGGAGGTTTTCAAGATGCGATTGGACAGGGTGCTAAAATAATCTCACCTAGGCTCCCTTTCCCATGAAAGGTTGGACCAGAGGATCTTTCAACGTCCCTTCCAGCCTGGGCTGTTCTATGATTTTAGTTACTTCTATTAATATCTTTTCTAATTTCAGAGACTCCCAGTTTGAGGATACAGATAAACGGATGGCGAAAAAGAGCTTGTTGTAAGGTATAACTCTGAAGCAAACACCAGTGTGGCAGTCATGTACAAACAAACAGGGTGTCATTTTCAGTCAAGAGAACCAGAAGGTAGTTTTTAAAAAAAGAACCCAAAAATACAGGCTGTTTTATCCAAGTATAAACTGGAGGCAGGATTAAACTGAATTACACGTTCATACCTCTTTTAAATCAACACAGTTTGCGTAACTACAGATGCCATCCTACTCAAACACCTGTGGCCTGAGGCAGCATAGCCAGTCTCTTGTCAAAAACAAGCAAAAGGAAATAAGGTCAATTGCAAAGAACCTTTGTGCTAAACAAATGCTTCCTTTAAACATGTATTTTGTTTTTCATCTGAGTACTTTCAACTGTAGATGGAATGTCAACAGAGGAAACAGGTCTGTGAATAATTATAGACTTCTTTGTCTTCCTATTCACTGCTCCAAAAATTAAAATTGCAACAATTTTAAAAACTTCTTTTAAATTATGGTCGCAAATCAATTTTACATTGAACTACTGTGCCCTGTGATGAAACACAAATTGCCAAATATGACTGCCTCAATGCTGATACAATGTAGCTTTATGATACGTGACTTACCTTGTTCCTCATTGATGAGGCCCATATTTGCATGTGCTTGTGCCTCTCTTTTCCCACCATCAATTTTTATTAGTTGAGCAGTGTTAAAGCATTGCTCATAAAAGTAATTACTTAACCATTTGTCCTCAGGGTCACTGAAACAGTAGGCCAAGTTAAGTTGGTTATCGTAAACCTCCTCATAGTGCCCTTTAAAAACAAAAATTACAATCAAAATGTTAGATTATCATCAGCTTTCAGAAATCTTACATATTACAGCAATAACCATATAATGAAAATAAAGAGCTATTTATATTTCCACCACTCAAATACCACCAAGTTCTCCTACATGTCCACTCAAAGAAAGATAAGGGGAAAGCGATAACCTTACAAATTAGGCAGAATTGAAAACTTATTTTAGCAAAACCACAATAAGTTGCTCTCATTTCTGTATGCAAACCCAAAATTTAGTTCAATAAAACATGCAAAACCTGGATAAGACATTGGCTAGTCAAAAGAGAGAAGCTAGAGTGAGCAAAAAAGCACACAGTCACTGCTGCAGAAGAGTTCGTCTGAGCCACTGAGACCTGAAGAGGCACTGAGCGCTTTCAAAACAGGTCTAAGGTAGCAACTGTGGTGATGGAGATAAAGAACCAAACAAAACACTCTGCAAACACAGTCCACTAATTCATACCATTTTAAACATTCAAAGTAAGACTAACAAGAAAGGCTTTGAGTTTTCATGTATATTCTCATTTTTAGTACCTTATCACTCTTAGAAATTAAAGGACAAATTGAAATTTTACACCTTGCGCTGAAAAAGACAGTTCACCAAGGTATTGCTCTCAGAACAAATGTGGAAAGCAGGGGAGACTCAAAGTCACAGATCTCCTTTATGATCTGAGGAAAAAAAACACATTTAGTTCCTACTCTATCATCTCAGACAGCTAAATGAACACACACTATCCCTAAAATTTATAAAAACACTGCAAGTCCCAAATCTAAGTAGCATTACAAAATTATCAACAAATATATTATTCACAATTTAAAATTACAGAATGAGAGCTTCTACAGAATTAGAGTTATTTCTCTCAGAAAAGCACCTTAAAAAAAAAATCCACGAAAAATGCTCTTTGGATTATTCCAAAACTGTATTAATTTGGAGTAGAGATCTAAAACTTACCTGACAACTCTTACCATACTGCTTCTCCCCAAGGGGGATTTGAAATATATATTCCCTACATGATGCAGAAGAATCTATGAGATAATAAAGTACAGCATGAACATATATGTTTCACAGCTAAATTTATTGCTGGCTAAACTAAATGAATTTTCTTTCCAAACTCTGCTCGTGTCAGATGTGAATGGGAATAATTAGCTAAAATTCCATTGCAGTTTTGGCTGGCTACTTACTGTGTTTGTGGCTGTTAAATAAATGTAAGCCAAACAGCCAGTTCTTAAAAGAATTTTCAAGTAGTCAGGCAAAGAAGGAGTTAAGAACCACAAGTCTTGCAGCAGGTAAGAGACTGTTTGGTTAAGCTAGATGTGTGAACAGAACTGCTTTGCTTTCAGGAGTTCTGCAGTTTGTAAGCTTTGCTCAACAAAGAGAGAAAAGGGGGAAAAGAAAGAAAAAAAAAACCCTGCAACTCCTGGGTGTGGAGCACCACACAGAAATCAACTGGGGAAAAAAAACCTGATTTCAATACAGGCAAGGTCTCACTCAAAGTCCAGATCTTTTCTAAGTGTTTTAAAACTATGATACCATATCAAAACACTTTGATCAAAAGATGCAGTTAAATTCTCTTCTTTTGTTATCTGCAGGAAGAATTGGGGAAAATCCAGCTTTTGAAAAGGACTAATTTCTCGACCGTAAATTCTATCATCTATGTGAGTCGCTTGCATTGTTTGGAACATCAGCATCAATTACTCAAAAAAGTACTTTGAATGCATCACTACACCACACAAGAGAGTGCTTCCTCAGCCTCATCTCTAGCATGTTCTGTCTCAAAATTAAAAATGACAAATTACGTATGGCCTAATAGGAAGTAATCTAAACCTCTCATTCTGTTGTCATGACTGAGTTCTTTGACTTCAGAACATCTTGATAAAGCTATTCAGTGTGTTGCATAGCACAGCAAGAACTTTATTCTGTCTTCTGAAAGAATCCTGTTACCACCTAAATCATGTCTGCAGTCTTCAACAGGTTTATCTAGCATTTGTTTCTCCTCCATTTTTATCCATCTTGGCCATTTTAGAGAACATTGGCTTAATTTTCCCTGCTTAAAATTTTCTAAAATCAAGCTGAAATGTCTTTTCCCCATTCTTGAACACTCTCTGGTTTTGTCTTTTGATTTAGAAATTCATTCCTCTTCTTTAATGGTAAACAATACTTTTTGTTGCTTTTGCTTTTTTATTTATTATTTTGCTTTCCTATTTATTTTCTCAGAGTTTTTCCTCCAAGAAGTGGTACCTCATATTTCTACCTTTTTAATAATTGCCATTAAAATATATAAAATTATGATTTTTGAACCAGTTTGTGTTACATATATTTCCATTTCTAGTATTTTAAATAAGGTAACACCCCTTCCAAGAAATTAGAATGTTTCACAATCTCTTTAGAACCACCAAAATAGAAATACCCCAGAAATTACATCTAGATTATTATCTCATCATTTGTATCTAAGGTTTGATACCAAAACATCAGCTTAAGTTTAGAAATTTGGCTTTGAGAGGAATAATTATCAATACATAGACTTCACGTATTCCTAATCAGAACATTCTTCATGGCTGTGAGTTTTCATGCCTTTTGTTCCCCCTCAAGGCTGAAAAAGCACCTCTTGGGTACCTCTTCTTCAGAATATCCAGGAGCATACATCACATAAAACTTATTCATACATTAGAAATTAAAACTATTTTGGTACAATAGCCTCAAAAATCTCTGCAAATGATACTGGAATGGAAGTAACAGAACTGGTTTGGGCTTAATATACATATATCTATCTCTGTGTGTGTGCACATATATATATATATGTAAGCACATCTATACATATGTATAGATAAAAAAGTCAAGACATAGTTGGGATTCATCCAAACGAACCAATTTAGATATAGATATGGGTTACCTAGGATCCCTTTACTCTCAATGAAAAAAAGCAGATAGTTCTTGGCTGTGATTTATCTCATCCCAACTTGAACATCTATTGCAGCACAAGGGGGGACTTTTAAAGATTATCTTAAAAGTAAAAGGCAGAGGTTCCCATGACAACTACAAGTACACAAACAAATAACCATACGAACAGAGAAATACAAAACCTAATTATAACCACTAACATAATGATAATAATACACATTATATATAGATTACAGTTAAGTGAAAATGAACTTAGAAGATACCAGAGGATACATACATATTGTTACAATAACACAGTCAGGGGAAAGATAATTGGATTGTCATTGGGGTAGAACACTATATACAGATTTGTTGCCTTTGAAATCTTTGCTACAAAGTATCAAGGCACTAATGCTACATAAAATTACGCAAATAACTTCAGGTAGTGCCCTACAAATCTCAAGAGATGGAACTGACCTGAGGCAGACTATTGCTACTGCCACAGCTTTGATTGAATGAACTTTAATGTGACCCTCTGATGACTATCCTGCTGGTGAATAACAATGAGAAGTGCACAAAGACAACCATTTCTCTGTAATTGTCTTGGACAGTGGCTGACCAGATATGCTGGTCATAAAAGTCTATCTTTTGGGGTTTATTTTAAAACTTGTATTGTCTTCTGGATTCAAAGTCTGATTTACAAATCAAGAAATTAGTTGAGATTATTCTGACAGTGGTAAAGCTAGCATGTCAGACTTGGTAAAAGTGAACTTTTACCTATATTAGAATAGGTAAATACTCTCCTCTATAAAATCTCCCATAGGTAGTTCAGTCGTTAAAGCTTTGACCTCTCTGATTTTGTATAGTAAGTTCTATGCAACTGATAATAGAATACACGTAGACAAGTCTTCTTTATGTATTTGTTGATACGAAAAAAATAATTATCTGCACCACTAATCAGAGAGGGAATGACGGCACTGGAATGTGATATCAAATGAACAGAAAGAGAAGTTTGAATCACACAAGCAACTGTAAAACGGTTCCTGCAAGACAAATTCCTGTTTTTAAATAAGAAACAATTAAGAAAGCACATAGATAAAGGTTCAAAGGCTGATCCTATTAATCTTTCAAAAATTATATTAATTTCATAAAACAGTGGAAGCTAAATTCAGGTCTTCCAGAACATTTAAGTCACAGGAGTGTGAGAACACTGTGAAGGTGAACATCTACCCAAAATGGCAGCTACACAGAAAAACAGAACTTGATGGAGCAGGCGGTGAGGCCTGAGAGTTCACAGTTTTGGACTTAACTGAAGATCTGAAGCAGGGCTAAGAACACATCTTATGGGCAATCATCCAACAGAACATTTTTTCAATGCCAAATTACAGGCAGTAATATTTCACAAAAATTAAGCAGAAAACAAAAGTCATGCTATGTTGCAGTATTTGTTTTATAATAGTTTAATATTTTTATGTTTTCGTCACAGAATACCAATTACAGAAAATGGACTTCTTTCATTTTGTTTGATCTGAACTTTCAAAATATTTTATTTTCATTGTCCTTTGCAATGGAAAACAACTTTGAAATTGGGTGTCTATGCACAAAAGGAAAGTATTCCTATCAAATCTTGCCAGGATCAAATCCCTTCCACTTGAGCTCAAACATTAAATCCCATATATTAAACACGTATAGTATTTCCTGCTCTGCATCAGGATCTCTTCAGGTGCATCTCAACTGTCAAGCAGGATCTCCCCTTGTTATGCTCAAGCCATAGTCCCCGATTGGCACACTGAACAATATTTTTCTTGCTCCTGGGCTGTTCTCCAAAACTGTTCCCTTGGCAAGCAAAGGTGTGCATGGAACAGAGGATCATTCAAATCCATGGTCTGCATGTTAGTAGCTAGACAACTACTAAGTAGTGCAATGCACAGGGATAGCGAGGTAGAGTTTGAGTATGACAGTCCCAACAGGGCTAAGATAAGAGAAGAGAAACATATAGAAGATCTGCAAGCCATACTAGTGTGATTTAAGTACAACTACTGCCGCATCTGTACGATCTCCTTTGTGACAGGATGTAGTGGAAGAAAGGAAAAGAAGTACA